TCTCTCTCTCTCTCTCTCTCTCTCTCTCTCTCTCTCTCTCTCTCTCTCTCTCTCTCTCTCTCTCTCTCTCTCTCTGTGGCACGAATAAATGTTTTATTTAAATTATTTTGCTTTTTTTAAGTTTTTTAGTATTTTTACTTCTTTTTTTTTTCTTTTTCTTTTTTTGCACCTTCCACAGCGCGCGCACTGCGTAGAGCACACAGTGCGCGCGCTGGAATTCCAGCGCACGGCGCACTGCGCACCGCACCGCCCCGCGCTGCGCACTGGTGCGCCGCAAGTATTTTCATGAAAAGGAGAAGCATTTCTTCTTTGCACATAACATTTCTGTCTCTGAACTTGTGTGCAGGGGTACGTGAGACCAGAATTTGTGGATGATGCTGCCCCTTCCCAGCTGGTCATCAGCGATGGTCGTCACCCTGTAAGTTTTGCTTCACTGCTCAACTACCTCTTTACAGCAAATTGTGTCCTCGTTTAGTCGTGTGGGTTTCCTTAACCTTCCTATCTAATAGTATCTATTGATTCTATTCGCCTGTTTCAAAAACTTTCCTATCTATTGAATCTATTCGCCTATTTCAACTATTTGACTCCTTCATCAATGCTCTGTGGCTTAGCTTTCGCGATCAGTAACTCCCTGTCTGTTCATTCCAGTCAAACCATCTATATGCCATGTGATTCGGATGTTTGAAATTCTTGACGCGTTCTGCCGCTGCAGTTCGAGAGGTCCAGCTTTGGCACTGGCAAGTTTTGGTGAAGGATGTTTCAGATCTCTGTTGTGGATCTGTGAATCTCGGAAGGAGCAAGATCGACAAAAAATGTGTTTTCATCTCCCACTGCCTACCTCAGGCTATATATCTACTCCAACTGGTCTACCCACGTATAGCATAGTAAAAAATGCAGATGTCTCCCATATGAAGAGAAGGCAGCTTGCATTTTATTTAAAAATAAATAAAATAAACCGGCAAAAATGAGAAACCCTTGGACCCAAATGGGCTTTGTCTCAGGCTGCCAGATTCTTTCGAATGTGCTGCTGGCGCAACAGATCCTGGAAGAGGACCAATGTACAGGCTGCTCCAAGGCTTTTGTCTCCATCGACTTAGAAAAGGCTTATGATCGAGTTGGATGGGAGTTCCTCTCGCAGGGGATGGCACGCAGGGGAATAGGGGGTATGTTTTGTGCCTGGGTAAGGAGCCTGTTGAAAGGGGCTGCGGCCATGATGCAAGTCAACGGCGTTAGATCTGACAAGTTGAAGGTGACCAGGTCCGT